ACACACACACACACACACAAAAGGGACCCCTCCTCAGGCAACTCCAAGGCACATTGTAAAATGCAAAGTGACACATGCCCTCTTTCACCAGCCAAGGGTGCCAACAGTTTGCTTGATCTAATAGAGGACACTTGCTTGGTAAGAAGAAAAAAAGCAAAAAGTAAACATTTTGTTGCTGGGCTTACAAAAAAGAAAAAACAAAACCCTGAATGTAAGTCAAATATGAAACAGCTATAACCTCCCAAACAACATGACTTGCTTAGATGACAGCCCAAAGTGATCCACAAACACCGACTGTAAGGATTTCGCATCTCACAACTGGTAAAAAAGTAAATAAAACATAAAATGCATTCAAAGGTTTGCCCTCAAGGCACTATGAGTCGGCCAGGAGTAGTGAGAATTGACAGTAAGCAAGAGATGAATTTGACAAAAGTCATGGAAAMCCTATTTTTCCGGCAAAGGCGAAGGTAGGCGTTTACTGTTCTGAGTGTGGCGTGGGTGATCACAACTAGCCGTCGTGGACAGASACAACCGCACACACCGACCGATCGTCCACCATTACGCCTCCATAAAGTCTTTTCACGGTTGAGCTCGTCTGACAAAGTTATGAGATCAATCGGCTTACAGAGCAAAAACCACACACATCCACGGTTAAAATGAACGATGGGGGAGCTTAAAATATCCTGGGGCACCACGAGTTATTATGTTCACAAACTTAGTGACGCAACTTGGCCCCAAAGAATAACTGCATATTTTCATCTAGCCCATCATCAACAACAACAAGCTACCGGATGCTAACTTGGCTTCCCAACAACAACCTGTCCATCTGTCCAGCTACTAAACCAGCGGCTAAATAAAACGAGCAATCAGCCCATAATAATTATCAACGGTTCCAGGGATAACTCGTTGAATCGTTGAGAACCTGCAGCACGTCTCTTTGTAATGTGCTATTATGAACCACAATACATTTGTTTTGGGTGTTTCAACAATTCCAAATAGCGATACACGACAGACAATGACCCTCCGTCTCAGAGTGTTACAAGGCGAGCTAACGAGCAAGCTACGTTAGCCTGCTAACGCTAACCCCCGGTCAGTCGTCTGCAAAGAGTCGCTAGATGTATTCACCAATAACCGAGCGTTAATTACACAGGGAAATGGCAATTCCGACTTTAACTATTTCACTTTATTTTGAGTAAACTTAGTGAATAACTTTCTTTATAGGCTGCTAGTGGGACAGCCTAACAGAAGTTTGTCGGAAAAGTTTCGTTAATATTCCTCTACTTTTGAGAGCAGTCTGTGCTGGGGTAGGTGTGTGTATGCAGCGACACACGAACTGTTACCTCTCGCATGTTAGCTAAGATCAAGCTATGCTAGCTGAGCTAACGCCGACAGGAAAAAAAAAACTTCCGTCATCGTCACATTTAATTGAAATGTCAAGATATCGGATAAGATTACAAGGTATTGAAATAAAGTTAGACGAACTYACGGTGTACAGGAGCAGCTTAGTCGAGTTCCCCAGCAATTTTCACTTCTTTGATGTATTTAGCTGGCTTTGGCGTAAAAAAAAATCCCGGGGATCCCCTCTCTTCTGTCCGCTGCCACTCCGGTTGCCAGATAATGTAATGAGCCACCACAGGCGGCGTCATGCTGCGTTCATACACACCTCGGAAATGTTAAGTGCTAAGAAATAAGGAAAAAGTGTATTTTACAACTACTCGACGGGAGTGACGGAGGGGGCGATTTTCTGTCTTTGAGTTGTTTATATATAATTTCTGTAACCAATTTAGGCATACGCACCTTTTTTTGGACAATATTTTGCAAGTCTTCGCACATTTGCAGCTTTTTATTGGCATCTTCGTTTACTGTACTACTTTCTTAAAGGCAACAGTTTTTCAAAGAATCAATATAGGCTACTGTATGTACACATTGAACAATACATTTAAATAGCACTGCTACAGGGATGAAATCATTTTGCATCTACAAATTATGAACTTAATGATTTTGCTACAATGTATCTTATCATTACATCTARGTTTATTAACAATCTGAACGGTACAAAATGGAACTAGCTCTATGCCCCCCACTCCCYGAGAAAGCACTGTATTAATATACCAAAGCTTCATAACTGATGGGAACATGATTACAAAACTTTCCTTTTAGAAAACATAGGATGCCTATGACTTCCCTCTGCTGCCCAGAGTCTTTGCCTGCTTATGAAATACAGTACATTTGATCTCCAGGCTAGAGATGGTTAATCAACACAACTTCAATCACTACTTATTAAAGTGGGAAAAGTGTTGAGTCGACTCATTAAAGGAGGATCTCTTTTATTGTTGCAGCACAGGTTTGACTGGAAAGTTATGGCATCTGAATGGCAGTTACCCACACAAGCCAACTTTTATTTCATTCATGAGTTTCAAAGTTTTCTCGTAAGGGAGACATTTCCAAACTTCTTGTCCTCCTTTACATAAACCTATAAAAAATAAAATAAAATAAAGCGAGAATGTGCACAAAAATATATGCCGCAAGTCAGATTTTCATAGGAACCTTATTATTGGAATGCTTTACAGCTGTGCAATATCAAACACCACTAGGATGCATAAAAGTAGACTTCACTAACAAATGACTTGAAACCTCAGTATGTACTAAGTGCGTGCAACCTTTCTCTACACAGAACAGCCCTATGCTGATGGAATAAATTTACTAAAATCAATTTACAATCCATCATCTACCGCTTTAAAAAAAATCRAAAACCATCTTAAAAGTTCAAAGACAAAGTAACTGTTTTTATTTTCTTGTTAGAGGTTTTGCTTCTCATCAGGTTCTTCAATGCTTAAAAAAAAAAGCTACTTCTGAAACTAAACGTGTTGCACTTTCAACAAAATTCCCAGTTTTTTGTAACCTGGAACCCAGTTATACCAGGAAGAAAATGCAAGAAACATGTTAACTTCTGATAAAATTAACATTCTGAAAATCCATGTGATCAAAAAGACAAAACTACATCCAATCCTCATTTTTTATTGCAAAGACTAATGATTTTATAATAGAAATGAAAATAAAATTTTCATTTCTACTAAACAAAATATTTTACAGGAGAGACCTATTAAC